TATGCCAAGGCGCAGCATGTCGCCCGGCGTCACTACGGATGTAACATTGTCCGGACTGAATATTACAAGGAACTAGCAGCCCGAATTGTCGTGGCCGCAGTGGCAAGGTACCACATTGCCAACAGTGTACCTAGTATGTTCAGTATATGATAAAAAGAGACAGTATTATAAGTATTATATATCTTATTTTTCAAATATACATGAAATGTAAATTGTGTATTCCATATTTATAATCTTTATTTGTTTTTAATTTTATGTAGTATCTGTTAGAATCTTATTTAAAAGCTTATGCCTGGAATATTCAGTTTACTCTCTAACTTAAAATATTATTAGATAATTAAAGTAGTAAGAAACAAAAGATAAAAGTGAAAGTTAATTTCAAATCAGTTTATTTCAACAATGTAGGGTAGAGAAGGAATAGCAACATGAAAAGCAAAAGCAAAAACTCTTTAAATTTATAAACAACTATTTATTTTATATGCATTGTTATCTTCTTTATTTATATAGTTTGAATAAAATGATGGCTTATAAACTTGATTCTGCGAAATGATCTTACTTACAAAACAAGAAGTTCTCCCTATTTCTCATTAGGATCCAAACAGAATTTAATAACAGATTTATGAAAAAAAGGAAGACTTTTTTGAGTACCTATGATATGCAGACTACTATGCTAGAATAATAATAATAACAATGATATATAAGTGGACATTGAGAATATAGATAATGGATGATCAGCCAGCTCACTCACTAACCCTGACACTAGTTTCACAGCATTTAGGTAGAAATTCCTACCTCTGCATAACTACAGATTATTAAACTTCATTGACTTTAGGGTTAATTCCTAATTAACTGAAACTCTGATGCTCAGTTTGTACATGCCAAGGACCTACTGCACGTACTTAAAACTGTAATATAACATCAACAAATTAAAATTAATACACATTAACTAAATTTAGTAGATGACTGAAAGGGGAAAATTAAGTACATAAATGGTATTTCTAGTCTATAAAGACCTAAAAGTCTATAAAGTCCTAAAAGTCTATAAAATTAATGGTGGAAAGAACTTTGACTATTGATTTTTCACTTAATATTCAGCCACTAGCATACTTTCCTGCATGTAGTCCTTACTCAGTAAATATATATTGTTTGGAAGAAGCTTTTAAAGAAAAAATAGATAAAAAAGAAGAAAGGTGGTGGTGATGACAAGAATCAAAGTGACACTGAAAACCAGAGAATATAGTCCTATTAAGAGGATACCATAAGGGGAAATGTACAAAAGCTGAAGACCCTGCCAACATCCTTTATTTTACTATATTTTAATTTGTGTAAAAGTTACAGTAATGATCTTTCTAAAAGCACTGCTACTAAGAGTTGAATTTTTTCTGAGTTCCCTCCCACTCCATAACCCTCCCACTCCCCGTAGTTTACTGTCGAGCTTAGTATTGTCAATCTAATGCCAAACAAGGGAAAATGATAAGCCTCCAAATAACTTTTAAAAATTTATTATAGAGCTGCGGCACGATGCAACAAAGGCATAGAAGTACTGTTCGCAGTGGCTCTGGAACATTTTGTGTTGGTAGTTGTGAGAGTTTTGAGGGGACCTACTTCAGCAGATGAAACAGCCAAGAAGATTCAATACCTGATCCATTGTCAGTGGTGTGAAGAGAGAATTTTTCAGAAGGATGGTAATATGGTAGAAGGTAAATTCAAGTTCCTCTTGACTATATGTGTTTATCTATAAGCCTCCAATGAATAAGCCTTTATCACATCCCTAATTATGTATATTGTTGTCCTTTGATTTTAAAGATTACAGTGCTAATTTTGTTATTTCCTATACTGGATTGTCTTTCATCAACAGACAAGACATTCGTGTGAGTGTGTTAAAGTTATTTACTCATGCTATACAATTGCTCTACAGCACTGCCCTCTATTGAAACATCTAGAAATAACTTAGTTTCCACTCTCAACTAATTTTAGGAACATAAATCAGATTACCTCTTTGTCTAGGTTGTTACAAATCATTAACTTTATAAAAATAATTTTCATGTCTCTGGCTGAATATATAATAAAAGCCATCAGTTATAAAATTCATTCAA